ATAAATTTTAAAATCACTTTGTCAACATATATTAGATGACTTGCTGGCATTTTGATTAAGCTAACATTGAATTTATAGACCAAATTGAATCTTTCTAGCCATGAACATGGAGTATGTCTCCATTGTTTAGTTCTTCTTTGATGTCTTTCACCAGAGTTTTATGATTTTATGATTTTTCTCATATATATCATAAATTGATATATGATATATATCATATATATATATATATATATATATATATATATATTTTTTTTTTTTTTTTTGAAAAAGTGTTTTTCTCTCTCACCCTGGCTGGAATGCAGTGGCACAATCCTGGCTCATTGCAACCTCTACCTCCTGATTTCAGGCCTTTCTCCTGCCTCAGCCCCCTAAGTAGCTGGGACTACAAGCATGCACCACCACATTCAGCTGATTTTTGTGCTTTTAGTAGAGATGGGTTTTCACCATGTTGGCCAGGTTGGTCTCAAACTCCTGACCTCAAGTGATCCACCCACCTCAGCCTACCAAAGTGCTGGGATTACAGGTGTGAGATACCACGCCCAGCCTGTGTACATGTTTTGTTATATTCATTCCTATTTGCAGTATTTCATTTTGGGGAGTGCTAATGTAAAGGGGAATATGTTCTTAATTTCAAACTTCAGTTATTCATTTTGGGTATTGATATATAGGTAACTGACTTTTGTACATTAACCTGCAAGCTTGCTATAATCTTTTATTACCACGTTACTACAGTAACCTCCTTTCAAGAAGTTTTTTTAAAAAATTGATTTTCTGGCAGTTTTTACAAAGATTATCATGTCATCTGCAAAAAAGACAGTTTATTCCATTCTTCTCAATTAGTATGCTGTTTCCAGTTCTTGTCTTACTGCATTCGATAAAATTTCCAATAGGATGTTGAAAAGCAGTAGTGAGAGGAAAAATTCTTGCCTTGTTCCTGATTTTAGTGTGAAAGCTTTACTTGTAGGGTTTTGAGAATTCTTTATATAGCATAGATACTAGTTCATTGTCATATATGTGATTTGCAAGTATTTTCTCCCACTCTTGAACTTATCTTTTTATTTTCTCAAAAGGGTCTTTTGCAGAGCAATGTTTTTCATTTTGATGAGGTCCTATTTATCATATTTTCTTTTTCTGAACCATGACCTTGATTTTAAGTTTGGACTTAATATGAAATGTTTGCCTAGTCCTAGATCACCAAAAATTATCCCCATTTTTTTTTCTACAGATTTTATGGTTAAATATTTTATGTTGATTCATTATTCACTTTGAGCTAATTTTGTATAAGATGTGAGATTTAAGCTACAGATGAATTTTGCCTATGGTCATCTAATTGCTATAGTATTATCTGTTGAAAGCTTTCTTTCGTCTATTGAATTGCCTTGGAACATCTGTCAAGATTTTATTGAGCTTATTTGGTTGGGGCTAATCCTGGTTTATCTATTGTGTTTTATTGATTTGTTTGTCTTTTTCTCTAACATAGAACACTGACTTGATTACTATAACTATATAGTAAAACTTAATCCCAGGTAAAGTTATTCCTGTTACTTTCTTCTTCTTTCTAATTTTTTTAAATGTATTCTATGGGCAGTGGTATATCCTAAAAATTGTGAAATAAATGTATCTATGTCTAGCAAAGTGTTGTTGTTGTGATATCTCATTGTGGTTTATGTTTTATATTGTAGATGACTAATAATATAACAAATGTTTGTAGGTACTTATTTGCTATCTGCATATCGTCTTTGGTGAAATGTCTCTTGATAGAAATTGCATAAAGTTATAAATCGATTTGGGGAGAAATGCCTATTTTACCCATGCTAAGGCTTTTAATCTATGAAAACTGTATGTTTCTTCATTTATTCAGATCTTTGTTTTATCAGCATTTTGAATTTTCGGTACAAAAATATTGTGCATGCTTTATTGAGAGTATGCCTAGATGTTTCATTTTCTTTGAAACAATTATAAATTATGTTTTATCTTTACTTTCAGTTCCCGCAAGTTCATGTTTAGTATACGGAAATGCAGTTGATGATTTTGTTTTGATCTTGTATTCTACAGTCTTGCAAAAATTACTTATTAGTCTAAGAAGGTATTTTTTTTCTTTTTGTAGATTCCTTAGGATTTTCTCATAGACATTTTTGCCAGTTCTATTTGTTTCTTTCCAACCTTTATAGCTTCTTTGTTGCTTTGTTACAATGGTTTGAACTTCCAGTACTCTGATGAATAAGAATAGCAGGAGAAGACATCTTTGCTCCTAATCTTATGGGAAATCATTTAAGGATCTTTTATAATTAAGTATTTTAGCTATAGAATTTGGTAGGTAATTTTTATCATTTGGAGTAATATCCCTCTAATCCTAACTTTCAGAGAATTCTTATCTTGAAAAAAAGTTAGATTTTATCAAATATTATTTCTATATTAATTGATATAATCATATAATTTTTCTTCAATACTCTGTTGAAATTGTGGATTCTATTCATTGATTGGCAATGTTGAACAAGTCTTGAACATTTGGAATAAATTCACTTGTTCATGGGGCATAACCCCTTTCATACGTTGTTGGAATTTTATGAAATATATGAACAAATAACTTTATTTTTCTTCTAGGTTTATTGAGCCATGATTGACATATGAAATTGCATACATTCAAGATGTACAATGTGATGTTTGTTAGGTATAGATATTGTTAAATGACTCCCACAGTGCCCCAGGGGAGCCCCCCCCCAGCTCCCCAGGGGAGGCCCCCCACCCAGCACCTGCACCTGAGCCCAGACCTCACAGCAGGGCCCCATGGCCCTCCTTGGGTCAACCGCTCCCCTGCTTCCTGCCGCAGTGGGGGCCGTCAGCCTGGCCACCTCCCAGCTCCGAAGCCCACTCCTGGGGCCCACCATTCCACCACAGCTGCCCTCAGCCCTGGAGTTGGATGGGGAAAGGCCACTCCCCAAAGTGGGTTTTGTGGACAGCACCATTAAGAGCCTGTATGAGAAGCTGTGGACTTTGCTCTACCAGGAGCACGTGCCCACCTGCTTAGCCTCAGCTGGGACCCCTGTGGAGGTAGGCAACAGAGACTTCACCCTGGAGCCCTGCTTGGAGGTCTGGGTGGTGGGGGGACCTGGCCCTGCCCCCAGTGCCTAATAAGGCTGTCACAGGGCGTGCACAGCCACCCCAGCCCTTGGTGGAAAAGTCAGAACTGGCCTCTACTGGAGGGGCCGTGATGGAGCAGGGCATGTCTTCATCAATGACAGCAGAGTCATCTTCCAGGAGCATGCTGGGCTATGACAGAGATAGAGGGCAGGTGGTCTCAGACTCCTTAGGATGGACCTGTTTTTGTGAGACCTGCATGCGTGGAGCCCACAGACAGGGAGGGTAGAGTCACTGGAGAAAGTTCAGCAGAGACCTCACAGAGTGCCATGGGCATCTCCACAGCGGGTGGCCAGGCCAGCCACTCCCAGACACTCGGTGCTCGAGCTCCGGAGTCCCCTCGGAAACATCCAGAGCAGCAGGATGGCAGCTCACCAGCTAAGACTATAGGCCGTTTCTCATGGTCAGCATGCAGGACGAGTGGACCCAGGCCTCCCCCCACAGCCTGAGGTACCCTGCCCCACCCGACATCTACCTGGACGAGGCCCCCTCCAGCCACGACGTGAAGCTGGCAGTGCGGCGGGTGCAGATAGCCTCCTCCATCGAGGTCGGCTTGGGCGAGCCCTTGTCCAGTGATTCCAGGGACGAGTGCCCTCGGGCAAGGCCCTGGTGCAGAAGCAGGCGTCCCTGTCTGGGAGTGGCAGCATGGCTGGCGACCTCATGATGAAGGCCACCGCCTTCCAGCAGAGCCTTCCCGGGCTGACTTGATTGGCCCAGAGATGCCCAGCAGGGCAGGCGTCAAAGTCCTCACCATCGGTGACCTCCTTCCACTCGCAGTCATCCTACATCAGCAGCGACAACGACTCAGAGCTGGAGGACGCTGCCATAAAGAAGGAGCGGCAGAGTCTGCGGGAGAAGCACCTGAAGGAGATCTTGGAGCTGCAGAGCCAGCAGAAGCAGGAGATCGAGGCTCTGTACAAGCCTGGGCAAGCCGCTGCCTCCCAACCTGGGCTTCTTACACACGGTGCCCCAGAAAAGGCAGCAAGACCAAGCTGAAGGTGGGCAAGCTGCTGCACCCCCTGGTGGGGCAGCTCAAGGTCGTGGCCTCCAGCACAGGTCCCTTGGCTGACTCCAGCAGAGGCCCTCCCACTAAGAACCCTGCCCAAGCCAGTGAAGGGATCACTGTAGACAGCACGGTCCTGAGCGGGAAGGCAGCGCAGACCCAGCAGCCCTGCTCGGTCCAGGCATTTCTGTCTTCGCACATCTGCTCTGGCTTAGCCAATGATGGAGGCAGAGCACGTGGCCAAGGGTCCTCCACCAGCAGCCTGGCCTCAAACCCTGAGCTTGGCCCCCAGCCCGCCCTGCACGTCCAGGTGTAGGTGAACAACAGCAACAACAAGAAGGGCACCTTCACAGATGACCTGCTTAAGCTGGTGGACGAGTGGATGAGCAAGATGGTGGGGGACGCGCATCTGAAGCCCATGCTCAACCAGCGGAAGCAGACCCAGAAGCTGCAGGACATGGAGGCCCAGGCAGGCCGGGCGGCCCCTGGGGAGGCGCAGGCTCACCAAGAACTAGGCTGCTCCACTTTACAGATTGGGAGGTGAGCCATGCACCCACAGCTCCACAGCTGGCAGGTGGAAAGGACAGGCCAGGCCAGGGCTGTGACTCCACAGCTCAGATACAGCAGCAGCCCCGGCCTGGGCAGCCTGTACCCCACACTCAGAGCTGGTAGCCCTGGTCTCCACGGACAGACCAACCTCTGCCTGAGTTCTGTTTGTGCCCAGGCTGGAGACCAGGGCAGGTGTGTCACCCCTGAATGACATCAGATCAGTGTTGGACTATAGCCCACACACACATGAGCCAACATGGGGCAGAAGTGAGGACCTGCTCTCCTAGGTTTTGACACCTCACTTGTTCTGATGTCAGTGCAAGTTGGAGGAGCATCTGCTGTTTTTCAGCTTTCTGGAGAGCTTTGTGGAAGAAAGAGAATGTTACCACCTGAACGGTTCTCAGTGAATCTGAGAGGAGAGGATGGGGTAAGGCAGCACCAGCAGCTGTACCACTAGAAGGGGGCCTTTGGTGATAGAAGATCCCCTGGTGTCTCCAACCTGACCAGGTGGGCAGAGCTCAGAGAGGCCCCCTTCCCTCTAGTGAGGTGATAGGATATCTGGCTTGCCACAAAGGTCTGTTTGACAAGACATATCCTAGCTAAGGGATGTCCAAACATCAGAATGTGAGGCCGACCTTCTATCAGAGTTAAACTTTTGACCAGGGAACAAATTTGAAATTGATGAGTCATGTAGCTAGCTGTAGAGCTCGCAACTTAATAACGGCAGCTGCCCAATGCCATGTGAAGTAACAAACTGGGTTTGTTTTGTTTTGTTTTTACCCTTCAATTTTAATGTTATGTGTAATGTATTTAAACCGTTATTTAAATAAAACTTGTTTTCAGAAAAAAAAAAGGGTATCTGTCACTTTGTAAAGCTATTTTGTATGTTTGTGGTAAAAACATTTAAAATTTAATCTCTTAGTAAATTTCAAGTACACAACACATCATCGTTAGCTGTATTCGCTGTGCTTAGTTATTATTCATCTAGCACAACTAAAAGTTTGTACCCTTGCTAACATCTCTCTATCTCTCTATTTCCTTCCTTAGGTCCCCTCAAGCCCCTTGTCAGTTTCTGGCCACCACTCTCCTATCCTCTGCTGCTGTGAGTTTGATGTTTTTAGATTCCACTTATAAGTGAGATCATCTGATATTTGTCTTTCTGTGCCTGGCTTATTTCACTTAACATGATGTCTTTCAGGTTTTTCCATGTTGTCAGGTTTTGATTTTAATAATTATTCACTTCATAGTCTAAATTGTGTTGATTTCTGTCCTTTCATTCCTTCTGCTTGCTTTGGGATCATTTTGCTTTCTTTTCCAACATCTGAGATCTTAGATGATTGTTTTGAAAACGTTTCTCATTTCTAGTATAAGAATTTAGTGCTATAAATTTCTCTCTAAGCAATACTCTAGCTGTATCCCACATATTTTTGATATGTTATTTTCCTCTTCATTTAGTTCTATGAGTATTTTTATTTCCTTTTAGACATACATAGATTATTTAAAGGTATGTTTTTTAATTTTTACATTTTCAGAGATTTCACTGCTCTTTTTATTATTATTTCTAAATTGATCCTATTATTATCATTGAATGCACCCTATATAATTTAATTCTTTTAAATTTGTTAAAATTTGATATATAACGTATGATGTGGTCTAACTTGGCAAAATTCCTTGGACACTTGAAAAAAGATGTGTATTCTACTGTTGTTAGGTGGACTGAATATAATGTCAATTATATTCTTGACTGTATTCTTTAACTATTCCATGTCTGCTAATTTTCTGTTTACTAGCTCTATCAGTAGCAGAGACAGCATGCTGAGTTACTATCTATTTCTCCTTTCAAATCTTTCAGATTTTGTTTCACATATTTTGAAGCTCTGTTGTTAGCTGTGTATACACTTAAAATTAGTATGTCTTCCTGGGGGAATGATCCTTTTATAATTGTTCCATATCTCCCTTTATCTCTGGTAATTTTCTGTGCTCTAATATTTCTTTCCTTTTAAATATTATTGTACTGAATATCACATGGTATTATAAATTTTTGTTTCAATTATCAAATATATTTTGTCAAACACAATGGAAAAAAGATAATCTCTTTAATGTACTTTTATGTCTGGGTTTTTTTTTCATTGTATCTTTATTTTTTCCTGGTTTTCCAGGATTCTTTATCATTTTCTTTCTGTTTAAAGAACTTATTTTTGCTGTCTTTAAGAACAGATTTGCTAGTATCAGATTATCTTAATTTTTCTTTATCTGAGAATGTCTTTATAGTCTCCTCATTTCTAAGTAAATAATTTTACTGGTTATCAAGTTTATAGCTGACTTTTGTCTCAGCACATGAAAATATTTTTGCTAGTTCCTTCTGACTACCATGATTTCAGATGATGTCATTCAAATCAGTTTTCCTCTTTGGATTTTTCTGGCTGCTTTCAATACTTTTTTCTCTGTTGTCAGTTTTCAGAAGTCTAATACAGTGTCTGTTGTCATGGATATCCTATCTGAGTTAAGTCAGTTTCTTAAATCTTGTATATTTCATCAACTGTAGAAAATTACCACCAATTACTTTTATAAGACTCATTCAGCACCTCTCTCTTTCTCTTCAATGTGGAATTCTGATGATGCAAGTGTTGGATCTTTCATTATTGTCCCGTAAGTCCCTGTTTGTTTTTATTCAGTATATTTTCTCTCTGTTGTTTTCATGGGCTAAATTCTATTGTCTATCCTCAGGTTTACTGATTCTAACCTTTGTCATCTCCACTCTATTATGGAGCTCATCTAGTGAGTTTTTAATTTCTATTAGAATATTTTTCAGTTTCATAATTTCCATTTGGTTCTTTTTATGCAGCTTCTTTTGGTTTTCTATTTTCTTATTTGTTTTAATGGAATTTCTTAATCATTCATTTTTGTGATGACTAATTTAAAATGCCTGTCAAAATCTGATTCTTCTCAGTATTGCCATCAGTTCATTGCCTTTTTTTTCATTCAGTTGTGATTTTCTTTCTTTCTTTCTTTCTTTTTTTCTTTTTTTTTTTTTTTTAATGACAGGTGAGTTTCTATTGTATATTCGTCATTTTGTATGTTATATCCGAGTACTCCGGGTCTCATTCAAATCTTATTTTAGCAAGTGGTTATGCTGTTTCAAGTTAACACACAGGTCCTAGACTATTTTTGTGGGCTGTGGTTCCAAAGACACTTTAATTTTCAAAGTTATTGCAGTGTTATTTTGCTGTGCTTGGTTTATCTTTGCTACTGGAACTTCCGTGGTACTTGTTGGTACTGGCTGAGAGGGTGGTATGGGGTTGCTTAGGCAGGGCCACCTGATGTGTTCCCATAAAGGAGGGGAAGTCTCAGACCCACAGTAGAGAAAAGATTTCCTAAACCAGTTAACTTTTGTGCCTGAATTCCTCTTATTGATATAGCCTACCACCTTTGTGTTTCTCAATAGCAGAGAAAAGTCTTAGGCATTTTAGAGAAGAACACTTTGGCCATTTATTTTGTGTGGGACTTTCAATTAATATTTCTTGGCAATTATGTTAGCCTTGATTGACATCCTAAGCTCTCCTAGTCTATCCAGGAGAATAATAAACCCAACTGAGCTTCCTTCGGTCGCTGGGTCAGGGGTTGTGGAATGTTGTGTCTGAATGGCTCTCTTTTTTTACACATCTGCAGACTTCTTACCTGACTTGCTAACTAGAAGGTCTCCCTGAGATAATATTCCTCACAGTGACACAACCCCCAGTGTTAGAGAATATGAGATAAAACAGAAATTTGTGCCCTAGCCCTCCTTAATCCTTCCTTCTTCTCACTTCTAGAAGGGACGGGTGTATTTATTTATTATAAAGCAATGACAGGCCATCATTTCTAGCAAGGGATTTTTGGTGTGCCTTGGAGACGTTCCACTCTAAAGATTCAATGAATGGAATTTGAGGCTTCACACACAAGAGCCATTAACAATATGCAAATAGAATTTTGGGAAAAGTGGCAGAGAAACGAAAATTGAAGTTGAAGGGAAGGCCAAGGGTTAAGGAATCCTTCATATTTCCTCTACTGGAATATTTGCTTGCACTAACATATAATCCAACAGGAAGAGTAACCTTTTGTATCACTCAAGAAGCACAGAGTATGGTTTAATCAAGAATGGGTAAAATTAGCTCCACTCTGGTGTAGGACCCTTTTTCCCATCCTTTCAGACATTTCAGGCCATAATGATGGGATGACAATGGCCTAGGATCCGTACCTTTTGGGAGTGTCTCTAACTTTTGGAAGGGAAACCCACTTATGTATTGAGAAGAGGCAGACTGCTGCTCCATTGCTAAAACTTCTGGGTTTTGATTGGCAAAAGAAAAAAAAGAAAAAGCTACAGGACACTTTTGACCATACCTCTTGTTTGAGATGGTTTTGGGAAAGTAAAACATCTTTTGTTTCTTGGCCAAACAAGATAATTAAAACATCAAAAATAAAAGGCTCCTCAAATATTGGCATGTCAAACTGTAGTGCCTAAAACTGAAGAACAGGATCTGCTCTGCCACCTGTGCTCATCAGTAACAAAGAAAAAGAAAGAAAGAAAAAAAAGAAAAGAAAAGAGACAAGAAACTAAAAGAAAGAAAAGAAAAGAAAGGAAGGAAGAATAATAGAACCATCCATTTGGGATCAGTTACTTTGTCAATGGGTCATTTTTAATAGCATTGCAATATGAAAGTACATTCATTCTTTCTTGGATTCCCAACAGCATTGGATGACACCTATTCTTGGTAACTTTGAGAACATTATATAATGCTGGGTGCAAATACAAACTTTAGTGTATTCATACTTTTGGCATGTGAAGAGTAACTTTCATGCCTTTACTTCCTCCCACTTTACAGCCTACAGAGGGAATGTAATGGGGACCAACATTATATAGAGACATTCAATTAGGGTTACGCTGCTATTTAAGGTGCCCTTGTCTGCTTTCCATGCCTAGTCACCCTTGAATCTAATTTTGTGAAAGACTCTGATCTGATTTCAGTTCCACTTGGCAACCTGCCCTAACTTTAAACTGCTTCCAGGATGCAGTAGGTTACTGTACGTATTTTTACCTTGAGCTCTATTCCACTTTGATTGACTCACTCTAGCTATAATGCTCAACTGAAAACTCCTGAGCTTCATATATTAAAGGGCACAGACTACCTTTTGTTGCTATTAAGCACCTTGATGAATGGATTATTCCATAATGTGGTGGAAAGATCATCCACTTTGTAATCAAACAGATACGAAGAAAGCTTCTAAGATCTGGAGTGTCATTTTCCTCATTTGTAAATGGGAAGGCTAATATAATCTGTACTGTGGAACCATTAGGAAAACTGAACTCACGTGGAGTACCTGGCATATAGTAGGTGCTCAAAGTAGCTTTGAAAAGTAAATAAAGTTAAGTAGAAAGCCAGGTATTGC